TCTATGTTAAGGTCTGATTATTAGGGCTGGGTTTAGAGCTTCAGTACAACTGGCAAAACTGTCAAGTACAAAAATGCCATTAAATATCAGGTCAAATTTATACAAAAATGTATTTATTCAAATTTTTTTTTTTTTTTTGCAGACCCATAAAACTGCACAAAATCCAGATATTAAATGTGTCAGGAGAGTCCAAGAAGCCACAGTTGTATGTAAGACACCCTCCCCTTAAATAAAGGAAAATAACAAAACATTAGAAAAAGAAAAACTAGGAAAACCTAACATAATTCAAAAATTCCAACAAAAAATAAATGACAACAAGAAGCACACTCAGCAGAAAAAACTAACCAATCAGTGGACGAGAATCCAAATAAATACTTATACTATACTTTCTATGTATTCAAAGTTCTTGTACAGTGAGGCTACTTGTGTTTGTGCAACATTTAATATTTGAGAACTTTGGCTTCTTTTGTTCAATGAAAAAAATAAAACTAGATTAAAATTAAAAAACAAAATGTGTGATGTATTGGCATCAGTTCCTAAATCTGCCGTACACCCCGCTCTACCAATTCCTCAGACCTTCATGAATACAGATGTTTTTATAAACGCACTTCCTCAGAGCATTTCTCCAAAACGAGATCACTGTCAACAACTCAGCCGTGTCAGGGTCTCTGCGCAGCGTACAGAACAGCAGCCCAGCCCATAAACAGTGTAAATAAAGAGCAGCTCCACAGTACAACACTTTTTGAGTTGTAAATTAATATTTAATTAACAATCACTCCAAGACGAAGCAGTGATGTTCTGTAAATGTTTGCTGTGTGCTGGTGCTGAAATGATCCCTAAAGCTGGGTTCAATCTGCCCTCCAGTGGTAACAACGAGCAGCTGGTCATTCATATTTGTCATTTTGTTCTCAGTAATGCTGTCACCCACTCCACTGAATATGATACTCATTTCATTTCTCTCATCTCAAACTCACTGATAAGTTGCTTTCTAACGACGAATTCAGATTGTAAAACCTGTCAGTCTGTCAGTTATCACATTTAATGCTCATAGTGCACTGAAGCAGGTGTCATGAGGAAAAACTGAAGCTTCTGGAAGACATTTTTTTAAATACAATACGCTAAAATAAACAATAATTTAATAATAATCTAAGTATATGTTGCACCTTTAAATGCTTGGAAAAAGTCTGACTTTTTTATTCAGTTCTGCAAACAGCCCATACTCTGTTTTTTTCCCCTGTAATATGCAGGACAATTAAACTTTTTTACCTGTTAAAAATATCTGCAATTAGCATTAAACTTAATGTTTTATTTCAATAATTATGTAATTAGATTTGTTTATTTTACTGTACTGTATTACAGTAGTTGATAAAAACATAATATAGATATTAAACCAAGTTGCATACTAACTAAAGTGGTTTAATATAATATGCATGGTACATAATGCAATTCTGATGACATGTTCTGTGGCAATATTCAGAACACATTAAACTGTAATAAATGTTGTTATTCTGTATTTAATATTGAATGGGGAATTTGCTTTGGGAATTAATGTACAATAAAGCAGTTATGCGGTCAGTGGTTTCACTATGCACACCTCTAAAGTCTGAGGCAATTCAGTAAAACATCTCAATCATAAATTCCACCTTTAGGAAACTTAAAATGTTCAGTCTTTCTCAACACTGTTGGAAATGTTTAAATTCAATTTATATTTTCACAGATGAATGGACAAAATAAGACTTTTGAACATATTACCCTTAGGATTTCTGAAATGAGCATTTATTGTCATTAAGCAACGATAAAAATACTGTACCTTAAATTGTGAATTTTCGCACTTCCTACCACTATGAGTACTATTACTAAAGAATTTTTTAAGACATGCTAATGCTACGAAATTATGTAACGCACTACATAATAAGATGTTACTGATTATATGTTTTAATGTTTAGAACATGAGACCACAGTGTGCCACAAAATATATTAAAAGGTAAAATATGAAGAACAAAATGCAGCTTCTTAATCAGAATTACACAGAAAGTTAAACACCAATAAACAAAAAATAAATAAATAAAATTAGAGAGTGAATACAGAATTAAAATGAGGTCAAGGTTAAACTGATAATTTTTTAAATAAATGCCTTTGTAAACATACTTACAACATTTGAGATTTTAGGCGTACTTGCTCAATATGAATTAAAATGTCACTGCCAATTTCTGATAACTTTATGACAAGTTTATTAGTTCTAACTGATGACCTTGTTAATGGTTAGTAAACAATTTAATGCTTCATAAATAACATGAGCCATTTAAAAAAACCCTTTTAATTCATGACTGCAGACCAGACGGCTTATCAAGATGCAACTGTTGCTCTTAATAATGACATATTAATCATTTATAGAAAATGTACAGATGATCTGTCTTAAACTGTAAAAAAAACAAAAAAAACAACACATTATATTTAACTTGGAAACCATTTACACAATATGCCGGAATGGATAAACATCTTACTGTCAACAAAATTTAAAAGAAAAATATATGGTCTCATTGGTAATAGGTAAGTGGTTGTTTGAAGCTCACGGGAACCATTATTTGCTAAATTCAGTGCATTTTTAGTCACTGATTTTGAAAAACAATGTAGTTTTAAGTGAAATAAAAAAGCTGGATGTGTGTGGGAGGTGAATCATTTTAGAAAAAAGTAGCCATCATGCCAAGGAGCCAATCACTGAGCACAACCTGGATGTTGTGTTCACAGGTTGAATACTAGGTCACCAGTTTCACATCATTTTACAAGAACCGCATATACAAACAAGCAAGCAGGGTCGAACTCACAGAATAAAAAAAACCACACTGTAGATCAAGAACTGTCAACATCTCAGCCCAGCTGTCAACATGCCAAAGAGTTCCCACAAGCAGAAACAATTCATATCAACCTATTGTATGTTTCTCAGGGTCTGGTGCCAGCGTCTGAGGCAAACACTGTGGTTTGATGCTCATCCTCATTAACGTCTCTGCAGCGATCAGGTTGCACGTTTGCAGTTTGAATTAGTGCAGCGGGGTTAATCGGGCACTTGGGCAAATTCAGACCCATGCTTTCACCTCCTGCACACACACATGCACAGATCATTTCATTTGGTCCCTTTAGAAGCAGACAAAATATAAGCTAATATCCCCCACCCACTGTAAGTTAATTTAATTTGTAGTTTAACAATTTTGGGTATATTTACGATTATTTCATTAAAATAATATTTTCTGGAACATGAACTGAACAATTAATTTCACCTTTCACAGGAGTTTCTGCAGTGCAAATAAGAAGCAGCGCTGTGTAGCGCTCTTGAAGATTTGTCCGAGTCTTTTGGTACCCTTAAACGAAACAGGGTGGCACAGTGGTACAGTGGTTAGCACCGTACTTTCACAGAAAGAGGCCTCTGGGTTCAAACTTGGGTTTTCTCCCCCAGTCCAAAGACATGCCAGTTTGGTAAATTGCGACCTAAAATTGCCTTGAGGTGTCAATTTGACCCATAGACTGTCTGATGTCTGATTTAAAGCTATGTATGCAATTAGTGTGCTTGTGATCAATGGCACTGCTAGTGATAGGTTGGATGGGTGCTTGAGCGGGAACTTGACATCGCTGAGGTCTTTACTGCACAGACTCTACCTTCAAATGACGTCACCAGCGCAAGATGGCAGCGGCCGTATTGGGATATTATGGCTTAATTTTTGTAAGTGTCCCTCTGATTGACTGGGTACCTGTCCAGGGTGTACCTTGCCCTGCACTGAATGTTAGCTGATAAGCCGGTTTAGCTAATGGATGGATGATAAATGTAGCATTTTGGTCGCTAACATTGTCTTTCAGTTGATTCATTAAGAGTCCCACAAGGATCTATATTAGGCCCCCAACTGTTTACTCTATTCTGACAAAACAGGACATTTTGAGACCTAACAATGTTTTAATTAATTGCTAAAAATAATTTCAAATTAATTAATAATGAAAACAACTAATAGTTACACCCCTGGTGTAATTCTTGGTCAGTTCAGTCTTCAATCAATCAATCAATCAATTTTATTTATAAAGCCCAATATCACAAATGCTTTACAGCATACGACATCCCTCTGTCCTTAGGACCCTTGCAGCGGATAAGGAAAAACTCCCCCCAAAAAACCCTTTAACGGGGGAAAAGAGAGCTCGATCTCCATGAGATATCCCAAATAAATAAAGCTTAACTAAATGTAAAATACAAGTTCAGTTTTGATTTTGTAAAAACAAAAAGGCACAAAAAGGTTCACTAGTCGTGTGAACCCCTTCCGAGAAGTTTGAGAATTTGAGAGTTTGACACGATCGGTTTGACCCTCAGTGGCTCGGTTACTCCACAAACGCAAAAAGAGGTCAAGGAGAGGTTGTGAACTGATTTAAGTCTCGTCAGGAGTCACACCCTGAAATGTTTGTGCACGTTTTATCCGCCTGTTGAACCTACAGCTTGATACTGTGAGCACATTCTCTGCACTGTTCTGTCTTTCACTGAATTTTGTCTCCTCTTGTTAGGACAGGATTTGTCAAAGCAAAATCTTAATCAAATGTACAGTATATCAAAGATGTAATTGTGGATTTAACACCTACAGTATTTTCATAATACAGGTTATAATTACACAAATCTTTGTGCAGCTGCAGTGAGAGATGCAAACAGGAAGGTTACACAGATGATTAACATCTGTTGACAGGCAACAAGAAGATTTTGCAGATCAGGATGCAAATCATACTTTAAAAGACAGATCTTAAGCAACCCACAGAGTCATTCTCAGAGATATGACAGATCTACAAACACATCACCAATGCTTCATGCTCCCGCAGTGACTCCTGGTGACAAACATCCAGCCCGGGGGGGTATGGCTAGGTCAGCAAAACACAGAACTGGTTTCATTGGCTGGAGGTGGTTATGGTTTAGCCCATAGGCTTGTTTTTAAGAGAGCCTGCTTTTCAGACTTCTCCCTCAGACACAGTAGGACGACTTGTGACATGCGTAACATCTCAAACAGCACAGGTAAGACCACTTTAGAAAATCTGGCAGTTTTGAAATAGCAATAAAGATAAAAAAAAGTGATTGAATGAATGTTTCTAGAGTGGCAGATACACTGAGTGCAATAAAGAGTTTAATTATGTTTAAAAGCATTTAAGCAGGATTAATAGAAAAGAATAAAATGTATTTTTCTATTAATGCAAAAATGTACTGTATTTAAAATGTTCTTTTTGATAAACATGACTCAACTTACATGTAACAGCTTCACTTTAATCTGCATCGGCATGTAATCAGCTGATCATTTCAACATTGCTCACTGATATCAAGTCATGAAATTAGTTCTTGTCACTGCAGGACAATTTAAGATGCTAAAACTTCTTGCACTGTGGTTGTGGTTGATCACACAAAAACCCCACATATGACTCATATTCATATGAGTTATTTTCATACAAAAAATCTTGACATCCCTTCTTTCCTTTTACAAGTTTATCAAATGTCAAATTCATGAATTTTCCGTAAATTCTACTACAGGGAATTTAAAGGGAGATTATTTACTCGTAATCTCCCTGGCAAACCCCATGTATGTAACAAGGGTAAAAATAAAATTATCATTTACCCAGCTGCAACAGTAAAAGAAGAAATGACACAACTAACTGTAGTGGCATGTGACGCCGCTGATCTTGAAGCTGCTCATGGTTTCCCACATGCCAACAACCTGACACCAGTGTCACACACAATGATGAAAAATGATTCAAAAATATAATTGCTGCCCACTCAAACCATACGACAAAAACCAAGGCTGCTAGACGTGATCTCACTTTCAAACTGACTGCAAAGGCGTAGGTATATCCTGATTGTTTTATGTTAATATGACACAGTATCAGGGAAAGTTGTAGATGATATTTACAGTAGAGCTCATACTGTGACAGTGACAACTGCTAACAAATGTTTTTAGGTATAAAATCTAAAATAATAATTTGATCATGTATATCAGAGCTTATTGAAATCAAAATCTGTCAAGAAAGACCTGATATCATAAAATCCTAAAAGATTTAGCGTAACCTGAGACAGCCAGTGTAAGACATGAACACAGTTTGAAAACCAACAATCAGACCCAAAAAGAATAAAAAGAAACAACCTATTTACACTGAGAACAGACTTTGCTCTGACTGTTCAAGAAATATTTTGGAACATTGAAAGACAAATTGTCGCAGGACGGTCTTCCAGCTATAAAACCTTTTAGTCCAGAGATACTGCTGCCCGACGATCATAGCATCAGAAAATGTCATATTATTATAATGACATATTTTCATGACATTATATTTCTCGAGCTGTCCACTGCGACGGAGATTTATGCAAAAGATTTGAATTATTAAAAAATAAAAATATTTGATCAATGGAAGAGTCACAAAAATAGAAGAGTCAAATTGAAGAGTTATAAACATCTGATAACTAGACTTAAAAATGTCATTTCTATCATTTCATGTCCACAGGCCGCTATGATGATTGTCCAAGATTGCGATATGGTGAAAGACTCGGTGTGCGAAACTCAGCATCAGTAATAAAACTGACAGTAATAGACTATATTTAACAGCTGGAGTGAAGACAGAAGAGTGTGAAAGTACACAATGTCACTCTAGTCAAGTACAAAAATAACAGTTAAATGAGCAATGGTTTTGCACAACTTTCAAATCTATCATTCTGTTAAAGTGGATTAACGGTTGAATTGTGAATGACAGTCTGTTTATGTTTTTGTTTTTTAGAAATCAAAGTTAGAATTTTTTGGAATAGCCAGAGATACAGATAAATGTGGAGAATACCATTTATTTTGTATTTTTGTATTTAGTACTTATGATTGAGATTGAGAATGAAGAGACTGATGAGTCAGAGCCTGAGCAGGAAGAGAACCAGTGGCACAAAACATATCATTGGTTTAATAGTGGACATTAGAATACATAGGAGTAATGCTCTTATTTATAGGTATTACAAATAGTAATGGACCAAGTATTGATCCTAGTGGTACTCCTTTACTATTTGCAAGAGGGCTACATTTACAGGAACCTCTGAACCATCCTCATCTGATCTTTTAGCAGTTTTGAAGAGGAGGTTTTTAAAATCTATGGTGTCAAATGCAAAATTTGATTTTAGAGGTCAACAGAGAAAGTGTTTCCATATTATATAGGTCAGTATTTTTTTTTATTTATTTGAGGAGCCAGCATTATGCAGTATAACTGCAGCTGTGACTCGGAGGGGAACACCCGGTCAAGATAAGAAAGTTGTGGACTACAATTCTAGGACTTTTTGTATATTTGTATAATGAAATTGCACTGTCACTTCTTGTGACTCATCAAGCAGATAAAGAGGCTTATCACCATCACAGTTTACAAACTGTAACTTGAATCAAAACTTTCTGACAGTTTGGGTTGCGCATCATCAGAAAGCAACCGTCCCATGACTCAAATTCATATTCTCTGACATTTCCTTTAGTTGCCCGGGCAACATACGGACAAATGTTCTATATTTTTTGTTAAATTTGTCAGTTAGTCTTATCTACTTAAGGGAGAACAACGCAACCTGCAGCAGTTTCCGCTTTGGCTGAGTCTCCGTTTGATTGCAAACTAAATAATGCTACGTTCTTTATTGCTTGTTAAAGAGCCGAAAATTACAATTACACTAAATCACATATAGTCTCACACCTCACTTTTTGTCAGGAACACCCAAAATGTAAACAGTGTTTGAGAACCTGATATTTCCTGGTCACAGTAAAAGTAATTCTTAACTAAAAGAAAATAAAGACATATCAGGTAATCCCTTTGCTGCTCTGCTCACAAGACTGTCTAAAAAACATTTTCTCCTTGTTTTGTTGTTTCTCTTACCTGTTTAAAGTAAAGTCCTTAATGCAACCGTCAGATAAAGAAGTTATAAAAATAAGATATTAATAGAAAAGAGCATGATGAACTGTAGTGAGTAGCCTCAGCAGTATGAGAAGCCACACAGTGAAAGATGAAATGATAAAAGGTGATTTTGGAAACTGCCTATAAAGGCTGTTAACACGCGACACTGACTGATCTGTAGACGCTGAAGCTGCCCACGATTTCCCCTGTGCCAACGACCTGCTGCCAGTGTCACGCAACCCAGAGCAAAATGACTAAAATATCACAACCGCTTAGTCAAACTGAAGAACATAGCTGCATGTCTCTCACTTTCAGCCTGTTTGTGGAGATGTTGGTATTTCCTGATATCGTGACACCAGCTACAGTATTCTGCTCAGAATCAACCCAGGTGTCTTTAAGAACATAACATAGTTTTTTTAAACAATGATTAGTTCTCACGCAAGTCTGTTTCACTGTGGCATTTGTAGAAGCCCAGATTGAGTCATAATCATCAAAGACATGTTTCAGAAAGTTTTATTGTGCAGTCTTCAGGCTCAAACTGACTTCTTCAAAAGCTCAAAATTATTAGTGAACTTTAAAACTAAATCCCTGTTCATTAAGATAGGATTCAAATTTACGTTTTGCCTTTTTTAGGCGGGAATGTTGCGCCATAATTCCACCTTTATAAAAGGAATGAACATGGAATGGGGGGGGGGGGGGGGGGGGGGGGGGGGGGGGGGGGGGGGGCAAAGTTGTTCCCTCTTTAAGCTGAGAGTGCAGAGGTAGTAACTGAGCCAAATCAACATCTGTATAAAAGGTGTGCGACCCACCACTCAGAGATTTAAAGAGCGGCTAGAAGCAGTTAGCAGCCAACTAAAAGAACAGCAACCAAAACTGTCTGCACATTGGTCTGGGAGGTCCTTACCATCCAAACAGAGGACAAGATCATCCGCCACATAATAGGGATCCAATGATAGGGCCGCTACAAAGCCCCCTCTTTACGCCACCTTTGCATTTTTACACAGAAACAAACAGCTGCATGATGCTGTCCCAGTGAGTGATTATAGACAGCATGCCAGCATCCCGGAAGCAAAGGGGGCGTGACGTGTAACAGTTTCAGCCGCTTGTGTGACAAATGACATACACGTCAGCAGCACTTCCTAAACAGTAACAACAGAATAACATGGCAATAACAATTATTTACTGTCCTTTTTATATGGCTGTTGATCTCGTCCTCTGCATGGACGTTAAGGAGCTCCTTGACCTCTTTGTTTTCCCAAATTTGTGGATATCTTCTGCTCTTTCCTCTTTAAGTTAGCTGCTAAATTCTACCAGCTACTTTTTAAATCTCTCAGTGGTGGATTGCACACATAACATGTCATCAAAATGTCACACCAGTCCCATCAGTGGTCCTGTCCTACCAACAGTCTCTTTTACATGTAAATCCAGCTGTGTTACTACTTACACTGCCGGCGTATAGGTGAGACAACTCTGTCCCTTTATTCTGTGATCATACCTTTTATGCAGAGCAGCAAGGCAGAATAACAGCATGATATTCCTGCCTTGAACAGGCTGTGTAAAAAAGGGGAATTTGTATTTCCATTGTTATTGTTCAGAAAGTGCTGCCTGACGGGTATGTCATGTCACAATACACGTCATTGTGGTTGTGTTAAACGTCATGCTCGTCACACCTCTTCTGCTTTCACAATGCCAGCATGCCATCAGAAATCACACACTGGGGCAGCATGATGCCAGTGTTGTTTGGTTCGGTTAAAAAAAGACAAGTGAACGTAATGAAGGGTCTTCGTTGCATCACTATCACGGTATCTCTGTGTAAATAGGGTGATAGGTTGTTATAGTTTGAGAGACATTTTACTAACAAATTAAAGTTCAGGGATTAGCAAAGTCAGTAAGAGTTCTTTAAACTTAAAATGTTCTAGTGTTGCACGGTATACCAGTACTAAAATAGTACCGCGGTACTAGAGTATTCCAAGCGGTACTATACTGCATTTGGAACATACCGGTACTTTGAAATTGATTCAGTTCATTAATTTAGTTAATTTATTTTACTCAATTATGCACACAAACGCCTTTCTTGTTCCTATTGGAGCACAGATTGCACAAGTGGTGTGTATGACAACACCTGTATCAACATTCACAGCTGGCGCACGTGAAAAAAGACGAGAAAGTCTGCCTCGCAAAGGGAGACAACACGAGACAACACAAACTTGGTGGAACATTTGAGTTACCAAACCGTGACGTCCGTACCGAGGTACTTACCGAACCATGATTTTTTTGGTACCGTTACACCCCTACTATTTATTGTTCTAAAGGTTTGTATCCAAAAGAACTTTTCCTTAGGAAAAGTACCGAAGAGTATCGAAAAGTATCGAAATTCATATTGGTATTGGTACCGAAACAAAGATTTTGGTATCGTGACAACACTAAAATGTTCATAATTTTACTCTTCTTTAACGTAGGTGTCTTTTCAGAATCATAAATTGATGACATTGATATTTTAGTCACAGTGGGATTTCTTTTTAATAATCATTTTCATTGCAAGATAAACTGCTCACTAGTCTTCGTTTTTGTCCCCACCAGACATGTCATGGACCCATGAATATGGCGACTTTGGTGATTATTTCAACTACTCTTTTTTTAACACAAGTAACATCTCAGACTTTGATGATTTGGACTCTGACGACTTTTGTGAAGCTGGAGATCAGGAGTTCACCATCAAAACCTTCCAGACGTGTGTGTTCTGCCTGATCTTCCTGTTGGGCGTGATGGGAAACTGCTTGGTGATTGCCACCTTTGCTCTCTACCGCCGCGTCCGTCTTCGCTCCATGACTGACGTCTTCCTGTTCCACCTGGCACTGGCTGACCTTCTTCTACTCCTCACGCTCCCATTTCAGGCCGTCGACACTCAGCTGGGTTGGATCTTCTCTGTCACCCTCTGCAGAGCCACACGTGCGTGCTACGCCATCAACACCTACAGTGGACTCCTGCTGCTGGCCTGCATCAGCGTTGACCGCTACATGGTAGTGGCACGAGCCCAGGAGATGCTCAGGCTGCGCAGTCAGATACTAACAGCCGGCAAAGTCGCTGCTGTGGGTGTGTGGCTTGTTGCGGGGCTCCTCAGCCTGCCTGAAATCCTCTACGCTGGGGTGTCAGGGTCTGGCAGTGATGCATACTGCGGCATGCTGACAAGTGGAAGAGTCAAAATGGCGACCAATGGTTGCATCATTGCTGTCTTCTGCCTGTCCTTCTTTGTAATGGTCACATGCTACTCTTCGATCGCTCAAGTGCTGTGGGAAGGGAACACACAGCGTCGGGGGAAGCAGTGGCACCGGCAGCGCACCTTGAAGCTAATGGTGGCTCTGGTCCTGGTTTTCCTGGTTTTCCAGCTGCCGTACACGGTGGTGCTGTCACTTAAAATGGCAGGGCAGTTCTGCGGTCTCCTGCTGGAGTACATCACCTGCACTTTGGCATTCACCCGCTGCTGCCTCAACCCCATCCTGTACGCCCTGGTGGGTGTGCGCTTCCGTAACGACGTCTTGAGGCTCATCCATGATTCAGGCTGCCAGTGTTGCCTCTGGGCGATGCCACGGAGTGTGAGCTCCTCCTCCATCTCCCCCTCCTCACCTGCTTCCAAAGTGCTCTCAGTTTGCTCTCCAACATCCCCCGAACCCAGTTACTCCAGCAACGAGACTGTGCCCATGAAGTTTCAGTTTCCACCAATCAAATAAAACTTCATGGGCTGGACTATGAACTTGCTTTCCACTTTGAATTGTTTATATACATATTTCCCAACAGTATACATAATGTACAGTTATTACACAGAAGCAAGCAACTTAAAGATATTCATATAATCATTAGGGTTGGTTTGAAATACCAGTGTCTTGGTATATACTTAAATAATATATATATATATTATAATATAATAGTATGTATGTATAGATAAGCAGCCCAATCACCAGAATAAATGTTGGCATTGTACATTTCTGCAAACCATGGATACGTTACATTTGTACATTATTATGTAGCGGACACGTTAAAACGTCACATTTCAACAACGCCTGGTTAACATGTGGTTAGGTTTAGGCACAAAATACACTTGATTAGGGTTAGGGTTAGGAAAATAAAATGTTTGGCTTGAAATACACAGTTTTGGTGGCACAATGCCCGCTGGAAACAGTGATGTCGGTAAAGAACAACTGCTTTTCAATCTCCAATTAAAACAACAATTTTACTGCTTTTTGTGTCACTATCCACAGTGGACATGCATTTATGTCTAGTTAGATAAACAACCACTCTTCAGGGCATTATCCCGGGAAACACGGTGACGTCTTGGCCTTCACTTTTTGTGATACTATCCCCAGGGGTAACGTAGAGCAGTCTTGGCAACTGACAAACGTCTTTCATGGCACTATATCTGGTAAAAATGCGGTGATGTCTCTGTAAAAAGACACAAATACCTTTTGTGTCACTATCCATGAATAAAACATAGTGATGTCTTGATACAAAAGGCACTATCTTCGGTGGAAACACAGCAATGAGTCATTTGATGGCTACAAAGTGGCTAGAAATGCAACAACTGGTTTTGTTTTTATTGTTGGTCTGCAGCTTGGCAGGCATCTTGCCACTATGCCAAATGTCAAATGTAATGTATCATTGGTTTGCAGCAATGCACACTGCCAAATTTTTCTGCTGGCGACTGGGCTGAGATGAGCAACGTTACGCCCAGTATCAAAAAGATATGTCTTTGTCGAAGGTCATAGGTCCTCCAGCAGGATAATGACCCAAAACGCAAATCAAAAAGCAGCCAGAAATGGTTCAAAAGAAAATGCCGGGCTGCTCTAAAGTGGCCACGGTCTAAATCCAGATCCTGTTGAACACTTGTGGGGAAATGTGAAAACAGAAGTTGGAAGATTATGCTCTTCAAATCTGAAAAAAACTGGAGCAGTTTTCAAAAGCAGAGTGGGCCAAAATTGCCAGTGAATATGTGCAAGAACCTCAGAGAAGCCTAAAGGAAGTGCTCAGCATTTATTAAATTCAGGTGTCAAGAATTTTGTCCATGCTATTTCTGTTTATTTTATGCTGTAAAAGGATATGCTTAGCTCTTATTAAAAAATAAAGTTACTTTACTTTTAGAAGTGGAATAAACAATTGTACGGGCAAAATACTTTTGTCAATATAAATGTATTTTAGAGAAAATAGTGAGTTTTTTTTAAAATGTGCAAGGATGCTAATATTTTCAGCTATGACTTTAGCTCTCTAGTGCTTTCTTGGTTGTTACATAGATATTAACATGTCTATAGCATTTTGTTTTTTAAATAGTAAAATAAATATGATTTTGGTCACGACTCAGTTTAGAAAAAATGTATAGTTTCTGCCTTCTTGCTTTGCAGTTTTGTTTTTATGTTATGCCTTGTAATCAAAATGTTTATTTATGTTAATGTTTTGGTGACACAATAAAATCATTGGAGCTCAGCTGCAGTCATGAGTTTTTAATGCTGGTTGCTGTTGACATTTTGTTTGTTGCTCAAAAAGTCTTGAGGTCTGATATCCAGCTTTAGTGATCATTAGTCACATTATGGACAAATATAGTCACAGAGACAGTATTTGGTCACACTTTATTTGTTTCGTCCAGTTGTTTTTCAGCCATCAGGTGACAAAAAGCAGATGGTCTGAGTCACAGATTTTCGTAACCCTGACCCCAACCTTGTGTGCCAGCAGTACCATGTTTTTATTTCAAGGAACTGAAATCCTATAAAATGCTTTCACGCTGTTGTGTTTGATGTTCAGAAGACTTTTTACTGTCACAGTAAAGCCTTTTGATTGTAGGCTGAGTTTCAGAGTTGGCCTTCTCAAATAAAGTGTGACTAAGCAGATTTTCATCCGCTCTCAGAATAGCAGTTTTCTTTAAACGCCACCAGAGGATCAAGCATTTTGTTTTGACCTTGTGTCCTCTGCATATCTGCTCATGTCCAAGTTGATATGTACAAATATATATACTGTGTATGTAGGTTTAGATATCACTTTGAGTCCAGTGTCTGTGCTGTCAGGTTATAAACATGTTCAACAGATGTCTATATGTCTGCATCTCTAGAGCTTCTATGTACTAGATTTAAATCTTAACCTTAACCCTGACCAATAACCAAACCCAAACGCTGACCCAGAAACGAAACTAGACTTTTTTCCACACTGATGGAAACTAAGTAGGTTACGGTGATAGATAATTTTTAGAGCAGGGTTATATGTCACAGTTAAACCATTTTGACTTCATGCACCACTGAGCAACTTTCATGGTAATAAACGGGGTCCTGCGTTCATCGCTGTATCTGGTTCTCTTAATATGTCCATGGTACTGTTCATATTCACTACCAGTAACTAAGCTTATTTAAGCTTCCAGTTGCTGGCAAACATCGTTAACTTCTAGCCAGCAGTCCACAGAAGGAGAGAGGAGCATTTGTGAGTGTTGTGTATCTGCCTTGGCATTTTCATACTGGAATTTAGTGGATTGGATTTCAGTGGCCAAAGGTCAATGAGTGCGTTTACATGGACAGTTTAATTCCCTTTTCATTCAGAATGAAAGTTCATTCCTATTAAAAGTGATCTTGTAAACACCTAATTCAGAATGAAAATGGCCAATGCGATTGAAAATTCAATCCGATGTAAGGGGCTGGAATATTCCATTTCTAATTCCAAATGAAAGAATTTCTCACACTGGTATACACTCAGTCCTCTTTAAGTTCATTCTGGTCTTTCTACGCATGCTCGTTTCCTTGCCCTGCTGGCGCCATGACGTATATAGCGCGCATAGCAACGGGCTGAGATAGAGCAGTCGGACTCGTTGCACTCAGCAGTTTCCATTCGCCACAGCACGGTCTTCTATCTCCCTTCTTCGACCTTCTACCTCCCTTCTCCTCCTCAACAGACGAAGCATTAGCAGAACAAGGTTGTTGTCGTACTGCTGCTTCAAGAATATAAGCAAAACAAGCCCGAAAAAGGCACTAAGAACGGCGTCGTCAAGCATCTTGTTATCCGGAGCGAGGACTACAGTGTTTTCTTCCATTAAACGTATACATGTAACATCCGCCCCGCCCCCTATCCAATCAGAAACCTTCCCTGCCCAAAACCTTGTGTGGACCCAAATACAGGCGATTAAAAGGCGATTAAACTGATCTCCCGTGTAAACCCTCTTTGGGAATGAATATTTCTCATGTAAACTACCTGGAAAGACTTTAATTTAGAATGATTTCATTCAGATTTATTTCATTCTGAATGAGAAGCCATCATGTAACCACACCCAGTGTCAGTGTGACCTTGCATGTCTCATTCTTGTGAATGCGATATGTCAAGAACACTTTTGGGTATTTCTTTAAATTTGACACAAACGCCCACTTCGACTGAAGAATAAACTGATTTGAATTTTGTGGTTGAAAGTCGAAGCTCAAGGGTGTGACCTCACAAAATACGTTTTTGACCATAACTCAAGAATTCATATGCTAATTATGACGGAACTACAAACAAGTGTTTAACAGGATAAAATGATCAAGTGATGACGTTTTGTATCTAAAAGGTCAAAGGTCAACTTCACTGTGACAGCATCATGTTCTGCATTTAACACTTTCCTGGCCATTATTCAACATCATATCTCAGGAACAGAAGGGGTTGCAGTTGATTGTATAGATCTTGTGTGCAGTCGGGGGACAATCAATGTGAAGCGTCCATGTTTTCACAGACATGGTGTAAATTATGAGAGAACCTTGACCGGTGCACAGAGGCATACAACCACGGGGCGGTAATTTTAGTTTCTAAATAAAAAACAGAAGCCAAGAGGGATTTGGGTGTGAAATGAGCTCTAGTGCTGTAATGTGATGTTCTGACCACTAGATGTCAGTGTGATGCAGAGGCACTGTGTTCCTGTCTGTCCTTAAAACACCACAGATTCTATGAACATGACAGGAACAGTCACACAGAGTGGTTTCATGGCAGTTTTACACCTCTAATGTAATCTTTATTACCAGATACTTTTCAACCCGTTACATTGAAAACTGAGAGGGAAGAGTGTATTATATTTTACTGTACGAACACACACATCAGTGTCATTATTATTTATTTATTTAGGCTATTGTTTATTCAAATGAAAAATGAATGCACTAGAAAGTATGAATTGACAACCAGGCTAAGTATCCCTTCTAGATAAGGGCTGCGACTAGTGATTGTTTTCATTATTGATTAATCTGCAGATTATTCTCTTAATTTAAAATGTCTACGCGTCAATCCAAATAATGAAAATCATGTAAATGAAGCATAAATTTAGAGCTCCAAACAAGGTGAGGGTGGTCAGGATGTACGGCTGCAACCAGTGTTTATTTTCTAAATGATATATCTGCCGATTACTTTGTTGAGTAAAGGTTCTGTAACACTCAGAGCATTAATATAGCAGCAAACCACTAAATGCTGTGTACAGATATAGTAGAGTAATGTTGTCCTGAGAAAAGAATGAAGTCACAATTCCTCTGTGTGTTGTAATCCGAGCCTCTCTGTGGTTTGTTGTGATAGATGGTGCCGCTGCATGTGCATGTAGGTGCATGTGTGTATACCAGTGGCTAGCTCATCACTGCCACTTTGCGCTGTACTCATACAGGGGTTAACTGATATCAGGATAGTGTCGTCGCTGAAGCGTAGCGCCCACTCTCCAGTTCCCCCCGGTTAACGCTATCAGCTCTGTCAGCACTGCTGGTTTTGTTTAGCGCTTTTTGTGGAGTTAGCGTTGTTAGCTGCTCAGCTAGCTCTATGTTGAGAACAATTTATAAGCTC